AATTGCTCGATTCGTTTTCAGACATGGAAATACCAATAATGTAAAACTCTAAAAAAAAAAAAATTTTGTTGCGTTTTTCTTTTTTTAGTTATTACGTTGATTACAAATTTTGACGAATCAAACCTTAATAAGATAAATCATATTATTAAATATTAAAATTAATATATTCTGTAAAAGATTTAGGTTTATACACATTAAATTCTAGTTCTATATATTTAGGGAATCAAAACATTAAATTTTCCTTTTTTTGTGCGCGCTATGAGCGCTTTCCTCTTTTGTTGTTCACCATCGCAATTCCCTCTAAATTCAAACGTTTGTGTTCTTATATATATACAAACCTTGTTCTAACCTAAATCCCTAAAGCTGGAAAATATCTAAACCAAAGAGCTTCTCTTACGTGAATGAGTAAAACTAGGTCTGCTTCCACATTGTCTCTTGTTCCGCAACCAAAACCTCAATCGTTACAACGGTAGGGAAAAGGCCAATGACCAACTCTGCCTCAAGGACCAAAACGGGCCACCAACCTCTCCTATCGGCGAAACCTTGTCAACTACAAGGTTCCATCCTCCCAAGTAACTTCCACTATGTTTCAAAGCCTTTCTTGTGATCTCTACACATGAACTGATCAATGCGCTCTTGATATCATCTTCAGTTCTTCACCAAGGGAAGAGTCAAATCCTTTAACAATTATCGTTTGATCATCATCACCAAAGTTAAAAGTCCTAGGAGGAGGACTTCCACTGCCACTATCACTCTCCTTTGAGCAACAACCGTCAATTGCCAAGATCCCTGATATCGAAATCCCAAGGAACTTTGAACGGTTTGTAATTTCTAATATGTGGAAACTTGTCAATCACCTGAAATCAAGCCTTCAAAATTTGACCAACTTTTTTTTTTTTATAATATATTCAATACTCCTACGAATTAAACACAAAGCAGCGAATGCATAACTGACATTTGTAGCAAGTGATTCGGATTCAGCGTCAAGCTTGATTCTTAAATAAATCATAACCTGAAATCCGGTGAAATTTGATTAACATAAAATAAAACCCTTCACAGAGACTGGTGATAAAATCTAGAGATATGAGTAAGCACCATCGATTAGAAAACTTTTTATTGCGCTTTTCTTCTTCTAGTCATTACATCTTCATTTTCTGTTTTTTTTTTCCTTCAATTAGCAGTTTGCCTATCAAATCTATTTTACTTTTGAATCGAAAGAATAAAAAAATATCAGCTACTGTAAAACTCGAGTCAGCTTTGACAAGTCTCATGCTTCTTCAAGTTTCATCTTTGGAAATAAAATTCTTCGGCTTCCAAAACACCCTAAACGTATATTAAACGTACGGATCAGTCTTTTACGTATAAAATCAAAAGTTGGTAACGAATATAAAAATGAGAAAGAAAGAAAATACTAGACTAGTTTTAAACCTGTATGATCATGATAGCTGCTTGCTTATGTACGAGCTCATTATACTCTTGGCAAGCAAAATTCTGTTTTTATCAAAACATTACATAAAAAAATGATTAGTTAAAGAGCAAAACATAATACATGTGATGATTACAAGTTTTGATTATGTAATACCTGAACGCAACTGGGGCAACCAGTTTCAGCTAAGCAGGAGCAAGAGTTTAAGAGATCAAGAGAAGCTTTTAGAAGCTCTGTGAAGAATGGTTGGATCTGCGAAACGAAGAATTATCCAATGATTCTTCAGATTTTACTTTCCAAAGTTTTTTAAAACATGGAGTTTCTTTTATTTCTTTACCTGGGCGGATATGCCAGTTCCTCCAGGATGACGATCATATAGTAAGATTCTTGATGGGAAATAGCCTTGTTCTTGCGGATTTGGACACTCTGGAGCTAAGTCTGAATAGTTGCAACGCACGTATAGTGGAACAACGTGGAGAAGAGCGTGACAAGCGGCGTGTAAACCAGAACGGAATTCGAATTTTTTCTCCTCCACTGCTAATTTTACTGACTCAGGGACTTGAATCCAAACTGCCTGTTATTATCCATAAACCACACCTTGAATCATATCGGAAACAGAAAAAAGTGAGTTTGTGTGTCAGAGAGAGAGGTTGAATAGAAACCTGTGATTGGTAAGAGTAACTTGGGAGTGAAAGATCAACATCATCATATGCTTCATTGGTTCTTTTTTTGATACGGAAAAATCCAAACCACTTGGTGTTCACAGTACAGGTATGAGCTTGTGCTGTTGTCTTCTCAAGTTGATTCTTTGGAGCCTTGAACGCGTAAGCCTGAAACATGAACGTGGGTAATGAAAGAAGAACTATCACACAATAGAACCACAGTTACGGTTTGCCAAAATACTTACAATTTCACCACCAGTTACATGGATTTTAGTGTAATCCCGAGTCTGGGTGTAGTAATCCACGTCTGCGGATTCACACAAAGCTATCTTCTTATTTGTATCCAGACTCGTGACCAGATAGGTCCTTCCTTGATTCATATAAACAGCTCCTTCATAGACCTGGAAAAAGGCTTTGCTTTCCTCGATTTCATCGAGTACATTATCACTTCCTTTTCTCATGACTATGTATTTTTCTGCCTCTATGGCCCGGATAGAGACTTTCCGCGTAGGTTTTTTCTGAGAAAAAGTCGACAAGCAAAGATTTGTAAGGCAATGAAACTCGGTTTCTGGTTGTATTATTCAAAATAATTGCTCAGATATACCTCTCGGCCAATATAGGTCCATATTCTAGCAGAAGAATCACGGGACAGATCAAAAATCAAGAATCCTCTGTTCTTGAGCAATTCAACAGTGTTGCTTAGACCAGAACCAAAGTGTTTTTCATCGTGCTGCAAACTCAATGGGTGCTCAAGAGCAGCACAAGCCAAATGCTGCTCAAGGACCTGTAAGAAGCAAAGTAGAAAAGCACATTGGTATTTAAAGTCGCCACAAGGATTCAGACAGAATACTGTTAAGATGAAAGATTGTTATTAACCTGCTGATTTTGAGAATCAATATGGCAACACTCAATTGGGCCACGGAAGAGTTTGGTTGGGAATTTCATGAAGTATTGGTCAAGGGGACCATCAAAGGCAACATATACGGCAAGAGACGGCCTTTCTCGCCTTCCAGAGCGACCCGCTTGCTGCCAAAGACTGGAATTCAAAAGAGATCACTCATTATCAGTTACAGGATATAAAATTTCATTTACAAGAGAGTAAAAAACAGACCAATCAAAAACTGCTCACCTGGCAATACTGCCGGGAAACCCTAAATGCAAAGTAACGTCTATGTGACCGACATCAATCCCCAACTCAAGTGCGTTTGTTGCAGCAATACCACAAAGCCTTCCACCAAATAAGTCGCTTTCTATTTTTCTCCGGTCCTGTAATATCAAAAATATTGAGCTAGTAAAAGCAATTCATCTACAACAACACCAAATTTCAGACACATAAAAACAGAAAATGTACCTCAGCAATGTAGCCTCCACGATATGAAGATATGGCTTTTACCAGGTGAGGAGCAGTCTTAGCAAGAATTTCACGCCTACACAGCATATTTACAGACCTTAAACTCCATCAACGTTTTTCTAGTCAAAGAATCAAAATCTCCTGTGAAAATTTAATCAGCAATTTACAAGAGGACGTACGTAAAACACAGAACAAGTTCACAAAGTTTGCGAGATCGGCAGAAAGCAATGCAGCGTAGGCCATGTTGAACCATCTCTGCGAAAAGGTGTGAAACTTCAGAAAGTGGGCTGAGAAGAAATGAAATAAGATCTAACATTAGCTACAGATTGATGACCATAAATTTTGATTCTTGTAAACGAAGAAAAAGACTATTTATATACCTTGATGATCTATGTTCAGCAGCTTCATCACTACTCATGACTTTCGCACTCATGACTTTCGTACCTACTTCAGATTTCTGTAATACAACAGGTTGAGGAAACAAGGAGTAAACAAAGTTTCAAAATTGGTTCAATAAATTCTACAATAATGAACCATACACTAGTTGTTGGTAAGACTGAGGGATTCCACAGAACAAAAAGCTTGTCAGAGGAAGGACTTCCATCAATTTCTATCAGCTCAAGCTCAGACAGGTTTGCAAGCTCCTGCACGATCAGCAAGCCATGTTTTGATCCCGTAGCATAGAATTTGATAAGATTCAGATAATCAGTAATGTAGGCTTACCATGCAATGTTCTCGAGGATTAGCAGAAGTTGCAGTACAAAATATGAATGACGGATTGGTGCCATATACTGGGAAGTAAGATATGCTTGGTGAATTCAAAGTCTAAATGTACAAAATATGTAATGAAGACTATTATTTTGACCATGGGATCAGTTATGTCACCATGAGAGCACAGGCGGCGAAATCTTCTCAATATAAGGGCTGTGTGGCAGCCAAATGCTCCCTTGTAAGTATGGGCTTCATCGATTACAATGTACCTGATATTTTCAAGTTAGACGACTTTAGGCATGGATTATAAGCCAGACCTTGTTACTCTAAACCAATCATTTCTTGCAATGATTCTAACTGAATTTATTTTGACGTTATTTAAGTAGAGGAGGATTTATATGTCTTTTGACGTTATTTAAGTAGCTGAATTTCTTTCATAGGAAGAAGTCTTACCTAATGTTTGATAAAATCCGGCAGAATTGTCCATGGAGAGGCAAGATTGACATATGTAACATGTCAGGATTTGTGATGAGCTACATTTATAATTCCAATAACTATAGTTAGTGAAATGAGCATTTGGGAATTCAGATGTGACTGATGAATCACAATTCTATTGGAAAAAGAAAGACGAAAGAAAATTACCAGTCTACAGCTCTTCCTCAGCCTTGTTCTATCCTTCTGAGGCGTATCACCATCATACACCCCCAAATTTATGCTAGCTTCATATCCTTTTATTAAATCAGACATCGCTCTAAATTGGTCCTGAGCTAAGGCCTATACAGACAAAAAAAAAAAAAAAGTAAATCTCTTTCTATTCTAGAAAGAGAAGAACTTTTGGAAAAGAGACAAGCTGAGTAACCTTGATCGGAAATAAGTACAAGGCACAAGCATCTGTATCTTTGGTCAATTCCTCAAAGACTGGAATGTTATAGCAAAGAGATTTTCCACTGGAAGTCATAGTGGCAACGGCAACATTCTTCCCAGACAAAGCTGCTGAAATCGATTCAGCCTGAACAAAAAAAAAGAAGGGGAAAAGGAATTGAGCCAAAAGTTTGAAATTCATCGACTAAGAAATACATTACAAGAAAATGTACCTGATGGCTATATAATGTATTGATTCCTATTCGTTTCAAGGCAGATTTCGTGATTTCTGAGAGCTCATCTGGTATCTCGACGTAGACAGCTTTTCTAGCTTTGATATCTTCAACGTGAACTATCTGCAACAGAAAAACGAAAATGAAAAAAATTAAGAAAACCTTGGTGCAAAGCTCTTTTAACTAACGAATAGAGATCTGCTCACAAAATGGACAGAATAAGAGCTTGAGAGGGCGAGACTAAACTACCTGTCCTTTAGATCCAAAACCTTTCCTCAGATGTTCAACCATCTCCAATGGTAGCAATGAATTTTTGTCCTGTAAATTGAATGATATATATTTAAAACTAGACATCAAAACGGTGGTTACACATCAAAATAGAGCACAACCCTTCAACTACGAATGCTACAAACACTAACTGTTGTTGCTTGTGAAACAGAACCAAAATCCTAGTGGTCTACAAATTGACTGCATGACTTTCTACTAAAAAGCTTGAACTCATACATAAAAAGGTATTTATTCAGGACCTACATTTCTAGAACGGCTGTAAATCGAAAGTTCTATTGCAACTGAAACTCGAGCATAACAGAATAAATACAGCATCAATAGGGGAAAAGACTCTTACACGACACAAAGTCCGGGAATGATGAAAGCTGTCTTTTCCAGCCTCTCTAGCTTCGATTCCACCAACACCTTTACCTTCCCCAGCAAATATAAGCATGTCCTCCAAGGAAATAGTTATTCCCCTCTTACATCGATTTTTTTGCTGAAAAGCAAATATGCTTCAGAAATCCAATATGCAAACTTTATGCTACAGCCGAAGTAATGCAATAATGGTAGCACATGGATGTCAAAGCTGTGACCCCCTCTTAATTTCGACGGATTTATACGAAAGAAAAGATTGGGAAAATAAACATACCAATAGGGATTTGATGGACTCCCACAATTCCGCCTTAAAAGAAGTATCCCGCTTTTTCATAGAACTAAAGACCGTTGCAAGTGGAGTTTTTTTCCGACCTATTAAGCATTATTTGAAACAAATGTTAATCGTATTTAGTCTTAAAAGATAACTCACAATAGCTTGGATAAAGAAAGTATGTATATTCATCTGAATTGTGGTACCTGATTTTTCAATTTTTCCACCTTCTGTCTCCAGAAAATCAGCTATAACTATAGCATTCTTATAGTTCGCAGCCTCAAATTCATCAGTGACAACCTTTACTACCTACAACAACCACAGTGGTTACATACATAGCAAAAAACAAAAAGTCACTTGAATAAGTAGGAGTATCTAGAAATATCGACAAATTACCTTGGGGCATATAATCGACAAATTCTTTACGTCCTCTATACCAACACGAACTCCAGACATTGCTAACCGGTCAAGCGATTCATTCAAGCATGTAAAATACAATTTATCACCAAGAGATTCAATAAGAGATGAAAAGAGGTTCAAAAAAGTGAACGTCTCCATTATCAATTTCAACCAATCTGGACAAGAACACGAATAGCTACTTGTTTCCCTCGACATCAAGCACTTTCCGAAACCAGGTGATGTCAAGCAATTCCTAGACTTTAAAACCTCAGCAAGCTTTTTTTCTGTGTTCTGACCCTTGAACGCATCTTTACAATCAGACTCCAAAACACCTCTCAAGAACTCAACCGGACACGTTTCTTGATCCCGTTTCCGTTTCCGTTTCGTCCCAACCGAAGAACGACTCTCAGCTCTTGCAGCGGTTTCGTCTCTAGTAGAAGTCGAACATTCTCGAATCAATCCAGAATACGCGGAATTCGAGAACCTCGAAGCCGAGGAAGGCTCTGAAAACTCAGTTTTTGGGGTCTGTGAATGTTCCTTCTTAGCAAAAGGTACCAAAACCAAGAGATCACCTCCATTAACGGTGATATCAGACACTCTACTGTTCAAACTCAATTTCGCTCCCTTCAAAAGAAATTATAAACAGTAAAGAACACAATTCGCTACGAGAATTGAAATCGGAGACAAATAAACTGTGAAAAAATTGTAGATAATTAGAAGCATTACCTTGGAAAACAGATGGAAATTGGGGGAAGAAGAAGCGGGAAGGAAAGAAGATTTTAGGGCAATTTTCAGGTCATGAATCGTCCCTTTCGAAGAAACCAGAGCAGTCGTCGATTCACCGGTTAGGGTACGTACACAGATCGCGACGGTGTCTCCGCCGCTGCGATTCTGGTCCGCCATTACCGAGTTTCCTCTTTTCTTCTGCTCACAATCAACGAAGAAAGGGTTTTATATAGTTTTAAAACTTCTTCGCTTTAGACACATGGCGCGACGTCGTTTTGGTGCGCTATGGCGCGGAATTTGTCACGTGCGATTGATTCGGCACGTGCGAGGTATGTAAGATTAAGATAATCACCTAAAATGGACCTTACATTATTCAGAGAATTCAAATCTAAGCCCGGTTTATTTTTGTTCTATGGTTAAACGACCCAATTTCATCTCCCACGATTTAAAAAACTTTTCAGATTTAGCAAAAAACAAAACTCTTGATTTTAATGGTAAGTTGATAACTGGCAAGTCTGGAATAGAACAATTCAAGTTCAGTCAATTCTTATACAGTTTTTTCCAATATTTTCATTGGATACAAGTAATCTAAAACGGTGAACCTAAATATCAAGTTATACAAAGTTGCACATTTGTAATAAATTAACAAAAGGCTCCAAAGTTCCTAGATTTGATTGTTTAGAGTATATCTAAGATTCTAAGTAAAATACTCATATAACAAACCAAAGGATAAACTGAAATGCATTCATTGATTTAGGGGAAAACCATAGCTTTCTGTTTCTCACAGAAGCTTTCTTCTTTCTCCAATATCTTCTTTCATGATACAAATCTACATACACTCATTCTAAATTTGAATGCAAATCTAAAAAACACCAACAAGCGGAGAAATCCTAGAAGAAAATACCTGAAGATTACTAGTATTTAAAGGCTAGTGATTGCAAGTAAGCTCTAGCCTTAGCAGCCATGGCTATAGATTCTTCATCTTCACGTTCCTTTGCGGTATTCACAGCTTCGACATATGCTAGTCTTGCTTCTTCCATTTTCCTCAGGTCAGTTTCTTCTACATCGTCCTGTATTTGAAACAGTTTTAGATGTGACCACAACAAAAATGAGAGGAAAAAGATGGATTGTCTTGGTTTTTTCTACTTACAATATATGGAAGATGATCAAATTCATATGGGGTTGCATCATAATCTACGTCGAGTTTCTTGGTTTCGGTTTTCGCCAATGTTTCAAATACCCGTGTGAACGAAGAGATTTCTCCTTCAACAGCTTCTAGCTGTTCTTGAAGCTTATTTGCTCTCGTTCCTGTCGTCTTTGCTTCCCATTGAGTCTTCTCAAGAGCAGCTTGCTTGTCGGCAAGTTTAATCTAGTAGAGACAGGGAAAATAAGATATGAAAATCTGAAGATGGTATCATTAAAAAGAGGATCTTTAAATATGTATGCCTTCATAAAAAGGTGTCAAAGCATTAGCAGCCCTTAATACCCAGGTAAACAGGTATCTCCATTTTCTTCAAAACCAGATTCAAATAAACATCAGTCTGTGAAACACGATGAAAATCTGAAGACACATAAGAGAAAAAGGTTTTACCTTTGTGTCGGATAATTGTAACTGCATAGACTTTATCAACATCTCCTTTTCAGCAACCACGACTTTTGTTTCTTGAAGCTTTTCATGTATCTCGTTTAGCTGTTTCTTTGACATCTCCATTGACTTCAAAAGCTCTTCTTTCTCGGATAATTTTGTCTGCAAGTCATTCACTTGCTCTCTAAGTCTAGTCAGTTCTTCCTTTTCTGCACCAGCCAAAGCCTTGGCGTTTTCACCATCTTCCCTAGTATTGTTCATAACATCGTCATTTCCCTCTCCGTCTCTCTTCTTTCTTCCTGAGACTGTTTGAGAAGCATTTCTTCCCTTTGGATCAAATACACGAAAATGCAAGTAAATAAGTGATAGAACCGAGCGTTAGAGAAACAAGTCAATTTGGGATTCATTTGATAAACATTTGGCGAGGGAAATCGAAACCCAAACCCACCCATTGAAGTTTTAAAACACCAGAGCTCCAAAAACAGAAATCCATCATTACAACAACATTTACTACATATACTAATTGGAAAACAACTATAACCCTTTATGTATATACAACCTATGTCAAGCCATTAATTAAACCAACCTAAATATATCAGCTCATACCCCAAAAGGAAAAAGAGAACAAAAACAAGTTCCTACCAAAGTAACTACCAGTGAAAATTCCAAGTCGAAACACAACTAAAAGTCTTGTACCGATGCAACCAAGCAATGGGATCGTGTTAAAAAAAAATGGGTACCACAAAGAGATGATAGATTGAAAGACACAATACAAGAAGAAAAAGACATCTCACCCTTCTGGATAATGATTCTCTGGAAGGCATCTTAGTGTAGATCATGGAACCACGCTGCTTAAACGAACTCCTTTCTTTGTGTTCCTAATCAAGTTCAATGACAATAAACTCATTAAATATCAACCTAAATATGAAACCAACAATCATATCTTTCACAAAATATTAAACCCATCTCCAAAATACCATCAATTTCTTCTCACATTAACAAATATGTAGGAGAAATGAATCTGTCAGAAGTTCAAAATTGCCGAAAAATTCTCAAACGAAAAACCCCAAATCGGTCGAAAACACTGTCATTAATCTCAAATTCACTCTAATCTATCACCAAATCTACAATCCCCTCGAAATCCCAAACATATTTCGCTCTGATAGCTCGACAAAAACGGAAGATAAAGTTTAGGTAGCCAAAGAGAAATTTACCATGTAATGCTCAATGAGAGGAACCATCTCAACGAGATCTTTTAATAGACGACGATCTAGATTCTCGTTACCGGAATTCGCAGCGGTGGAAGATTGGTGAGGAGACAGTCGTAGATCGTCATCGCCGGCGAGCCACGAGCTATCATCCCCAAATCCAGAATCGCTTTGTAAATCCACGAAATGTTGCTGCTGCTCATACATCTCCGAATAGATCTGCTTCAGTTATTACTCTTCTAAGACCAGAGTTTGAGCAGAGAAGGAGACGAAGAGAAGACTTGATTTTTTTTTTTTTTCAACTCTGAGCTCTTCTGGATCTGAATTTTTTTCTCCAACGTTCATCTGAAACTACCCAATTCAAATTACCAATTTACCCTCGTCTTGTCTCATTATTCTCTGGATTTACCCGTGATTTTTGAATTCTTTCCTTTTAAACCATCTTTTCCTTTGTCTTTGGTCCCTTAAGTTAACATTATATTCGTCTTAAGTTTGGAAAATGGCTAATTAGAATCATGTATTAAGATCTCATTTAAAATGGATAATTACGCATTATCATATGGGTAATTCTGAACAAAAACGAAACATAGGCACCAAAATATGTAAAATTTGAATAATACAAGGTCCTATGGAGATATTTTTCCTGTCAATAATTTTTTTGCGGTCGTTATCTCAAGCTTGATGCATTCAATTTAAAGCTTACAAGTAACAACACTCAAATAAATGTCACTTTTAAAGAGTAACTAC